AAAAAAAAAAAAAAAAAAAAAAAAAAAAAAAAAAAAAAAAAAAAAAAAAAAAAAAATGTAATTCAATTGCTATTCGTGCGCAATTTTTCAACTTGTTAATGGACCGTCGACGGACATTTCACCGAATATATTTTTTTTTGTTTTATGGTTGAATGATGACCTATACTTCGAATGTATACGTAATCGAATGTATATTGTCTTTATTGTACGCATATATTTTTATTATAACGCGTTGGCGAGCATTTAATAGACTAATACGTTTTGATTTGAAGTAGTTTGAAGTGAATGATATTCGACGATGGTCCTTAACAGAAGTGCGCCTTTGATAAAAAAAAAAAAAAAAAAAAAAACGGGGTTTAAAAATGGGTTTTTTTGGGTTAAAAATTGAAAAAAAAAAAAAAAAAAAAAAAAAAAAAAAAAAAAAAAAAAAACTGCGTTTAACAATGCGTTTTTTCGTGATATACATTGCAACAAATAGAAGAAATAATAATAATAGAAAAGAAAGGAGTTTTCTGTGGCCGATTTCAAGGCCAATGATGTATGTATATGTACCGCACACAAGTGTTCGAGCGACGAGGAAAATTGGGCCTGCGTCTGTAAAATGTAAATATTATACAAAACAAATAAAAAATGAAAGATGAAGAATGGATGAAAAAATTGATAAATTATGATAAAAAGTGTCACAAATGCTTTTGTGAAGAAATGTTTTTGTTCCTTATTTATCATGCCGCTAGGTATATCTGTACCATTATGTACCTGTAAATATCAATAAATCAATGATATACTCTATAGATAACTATTTTAACACCAACCATCCCTGCAATCGACAATTAATTTCATTGGAAAAGTTTCTTGTGTACTGGTAAGCCGAAACATGATAAAATGATATTGGTTTCTTTGTTAAATCCTATCGATTACCGAAGAGCAGTTTTACATTATTACACACTAGATGCAGCCAAATAAAAATAAAAACTACTGATAATTAATGTATAAAAGGAACTGGTGTACGTAATCAGCGATTCCCAAAAAAAAGGTCTACAGTTACACAGTGGGATCAGAGCCTGACACACGCAAAATATCGATCAAGTGCGTATATACAAAAGATACACAATAAATGTGGCCTGATTCGTGAGTTTTATTTTTTATAGGAATACTTTGATGTTGTTAAATAAACAAGTTTTTATTTAATTTTTTTTTGTCAGGATAAAGTTGGAAGTCTTACATAATTTTTATAAATCAGTATACATTATCCGATATAAATCAAAAGATCAGGTTAAGTTGATGAATGTAAATATAAATGATATTATTTCGTGTGTTTTATATTGTTGTAGGTACGTAAAACGATATTGGTAACGTTATCAGCTGATGCATATTGCTTTTTTATAATCATTCGATACAAAGTTACTTATCATTTTTTATTTGTACAATAACTGGATTATTCACATAGTTATAACCTTTTTTTACGCATTAATTAACATCGGTATCAGTACTGTTTTTCTTATGAAGTTTCTTGTGGTTTTAGTAATTAACATTTTTAAACAATAATCGCTGATCATCTAAAATACAAATCAATAATGATGTACAGTACGTTAAGGAGCAATTTATCATTAATATCAAAAGCGAACTTTCAACAATCTGTTAAACATGCCCATCACGCGTAAGTATTTGCAAAAGATAAACGCAATTTTAGTATCTCCGAAATAATACCAGTGTTGAAAACTATTTGATGTTTGTGTACAGCTGTAAAGTTTTAATAATCGGAGGTGGTACCGGGGGATGTACTATGGCTGCAAAACTATCCAAAAAATTTCAGAATGCCCCAGATCACGTTATAGTGATTGAACCCCAAGACGTATATATACAATTAATTTTATTATTAGATGAAATGTATAAAATTGCAAAATTAATATTCATCAATCCCCGGCAGATTCACTATTATCAGCCATTATTTACATTAGTAGGTGGAGGAATTAAAAGTTTGAAATCATCAAAAAAACATATGAAGGATGTTTTACCACAAAAAGCTCAGTGGCTTAAGGATTCAGTAACCAAATTTAAGCCTGATGAAAATATAGTAATGACAAGTAATGGTGATACTGTTGAGTATCAGCAAATGATTGTAGCCATGGGCTTAGAATTATTTTGGGAACAGGTATGTTAAAATGATCAAAGTATCATCTCACATAATTACATTCGTTACATCATTGTTCTTTAGATACCTGGTTTAGTTGATGGCTTGAAGAATCCAAAAGCTCAGGTCTGTTCAATTTATGGATCAGATACAGTTTCGGGTGTTTTTGAAAAAATAAAATTAACAAAAGAGGGAACCGCTATTTTTACATTTCCTAATTCGTGTGTAAAATGTCCTGGAGCACCTCAAAAGATTGCATATTTATCTGAGGATTACTGGAGAAGAGTATGTTCTAATCACTAAAGGATTTTATTTTTCAGAATGTCAATTTTTAATTTCTGTTCGTTTATTAGAAAAAATTACGAGACAATATAAATATTGTATACAACACAAGTTTGCCAGTATTATTTGGCGTTAAGAAATACGCGGATGCACTCTGGGAGGTCTGTAATTCAAGAAACATAAAAGTCAATTGTAGAACAAATTTAATTGAAATAAGATCTGATGAAAGGGAAGCTGTGTTTCAAAATCTCGATAAGCCTGAAATCAAGCACACAATCGAGGTATGACATCGTCTTTTTATATTAATTTTAATTTTTCAGCCTTATACTTATACATAGTCATATTTTTAGTACTCCTTTCTTCATGTAACTCCACCAATGGGACCCCCAAAGGTCTTGCAGCAGCATAAAATAATAACAAATGAAGCAGGGTTTCTTGACGTTAATCCTAAGACATTACAGCATAATAAGTATAACAACATCTATGGTATAGGTGACTGTACCAGTACACCTAATTCTAAGACAATGGCTGCAATAGGTATGAACAAGTAAAAATATTTACAATGCTACAAAATTAAAAATGTTTTTTGATTGCGTCAATTTTTTTAGCGTCCCAAAGTAAAGTTTTGTACAAAAATTTAATGGACAATTGTGCTGGAAAAGAAATTAAGATGGCATATAATGGGTATGCCTCTTGCCCATTAGTGACCGCACCTGGAAAGTGTATTCTTGCTGAATTTGATTACAATTTACAGCCATGTGAAACTTTTCCAGTGAATCAGGGCAAAGAAATGTACTTTACTTATTTTTTGAAAAAGCATTTCTTCCCGTTGTTATATTGGAATTTTATGCTAAAGTGAGTACATTTTCATCATCTAATAAGTCAATGAATTATAAGATGTATTATATTGGTTTATTTTTTAATTTTAGGGGGAATTGGAGTGGTCCAGAAATGTTGAGAAAAATATTTAGCATCATAAAAAAGAAAGATGCAGAGGTTGTAAAAAACTAATTTTGCGTGTTTTTTCAACTAAAAGTTGCTTGGTTACTCAAAGTACCAATCACAGTTGAATGCATAATAAGTATTTGAAAATAATACAACAAAATATTGAAAGCTTGTTTATGAATATTACTTGAAAATTTTTACACTTTGTTATATCTAAGATTTTATTTTATACATAATGGATATATTACATATACATTTTTTATGAAGTATTAGTGTTATTATATCTTAAATAATAAGCATAATCGTTGTAAAATTACATTTGTGAATCCACAGTTTACTCACTTGTAGGAAAAATGTGATATTAGTCTCGAAATTTGTAAATTTGTATGAAACAAAAGTAATAAAACCTAATATTTATACTTTTACTTTACATACTCATATTTTGTTTGCTTGTAGCTTGTAGTGTAGCTGAGGAGAATTATATTAGAGAAAATGTTTAAACGAGGTTTACTCTGATTTTAGTTCGACAAATTTAAGGTCGTAGTTCGTAAATATTTATGATAGATGGCGTTGATTCTAACTTCCGACCTAACCTTTATGACGTGACAGCTGTTATACATTGTCTGCTCCAAAACGATCAGAACACGTATATTTTAAGAAAAAAAAACAATTCAATCTGAACATAAACAATTAACAATGACTCCCCCAACGGTGCAATAAACTGGCGATAAGTAAATGACGAAGTGTAAATATGGATTTCCCATCAACGAATGCCGAAAACGCCGGTCAGGAAGGTCCAGTTCGTTGTATTTTCTTTTCTGAATTTCACCCGACGGCTGGCCCGAAAATCACTTGTCAGGTTAGCTTCGTTTTTAACATTAAGAACAAATTTTATTACGGCAACAATTATTCTTTATACACCTTATACACAGCATACAGTAGATTAACCAAAGTATCGTTCTGTTGTTGTTCTTATCTTGTAAATATAACGACAAGCTAATTGTAAACAAAAAAAAAAACTTCACGGGTCTTGAAAAAAAAAGCAACAATTAAACGAAACAGTACATATTTATAAACTATTTTCAGGTGCCTGATAACTACATATCAAAGGAAATATTCGACAATGTGAGTGTCTACATCATTCCAAAGGCTCAACTTCAACGAAGCACAATTACAGTGTTTGTATTTTATATTAATTGTTTATGTAATATCGGTGCCTAAGTACTCGTTCTTTTGTTGTCATTCCTGTCAGCTCATATTGCACAGAGCATCATCAATAATTACCTTATTTTATCCGCATCCTCGCGTATCCATTATTTGCCTTTTATAAAGTGATAATTTTCTCCCAAATCTTGCTAAAGTCGTATTTGTGTTTCGTGTATATGCCGCTATTTGTTTTTCTACTAAGTAGGTACTGTAGATATCTACTAATCGCTCCGAGCCGATGCAGAGGTTGCGCCCCCTCTAGCCAAAATCAGGCAACATTTCTTGCATGTAAACAAACGGTTTAGAACATATATACATACGTATAGCTGCTTGTGATTGGCACTTGGCAAGCTAGAGAGAGAACGACGATCCTCTCCTGCTGTCTTTTTCAGCCAATCACAAGCAGCTATACGTATGTATATATGTTCTAAGCCGTTTGTTTACATGCAAGAAATGTTGCCTGATTTTGGCTAGAGGGGGCGCAACCTCTGTATCGGCTCGGAGCGAATACTATTCAGTTTATACCTACATATATTTATATAAGTATATGGCTGAGAGCAAATAATAAAAAAGTATAAGTCAGCAGTATTTATTATATCTTCTGTGGAGTTTGAAAGGAGTAGTGTTTTTGAGTTTTTTTGATGTATGTGGCAGCATGGCATCCATCAGAGAGATGACGATAAAACTACTCGATCTGATCCGCGATCCTTTTATGCCCGTTTATTTTATTATAATCGCCGTTTATGGATATTTCATCATTAGTTTTATCATGAAAATTTTAGAACCCTAAAGGATTGCAAGATACTAGGCTTCCCCGTCAAGATTGACAATAAAAAGTACGCTAGAAATGCCTTCTACTTTAACCTTTGCTTCGTCTGCGACGCCGAAGCTAGGACTGTACACTACGAGCCGGTTGTTAAGAAAATGTCAGATTTCTTGGTAGGTACTATTCATATTATTTATTTTACACAATTTACTTACACAAAAATTTTTTTTTATCAAGATGGCACTAGAAGTAGAAAATTGCTTTTTGTCCGCCTCGGAGGACAAGACTAGGCTTTCCGAAATGTTGAGACAAGTCATGCACGACTTGAATTTGCACAAAATGTGTACTCTAACAGGTAAGTGTAACGTTACAGTACGATAGTTGAATTGCAAACAGCACGTGTTTGTTAATATATATACTCATCTACCATCTACTTGACAGAGGGTACAATGACGTCACATTTGAAAGTAGTAAGATTAGCACCCGAGCCCAAACCAGTCCTTGATCACCAAGTTCCAATATTTCTTGAAGGCAGAGAAGCATTTAGGAGTGATCAGTGGGACCTGACTACCCAACAAGTACTGCCCTATATAGATGGCTTCAATCATGTGGCGCGTATCGCAGCAGAAGCAGATGTAGAGAACAATCTTGTGAAAAGTTGTGTGCAAAATTTAGTGTGAGTTACAATGATGCGTAATTAATTATTTGTATAAAAGTATCGAAAGTAGATGGTTCAGTTAGAACACTCGTTTTTTTCTTTAATTCTAGTTATTATGGAGTTGTAACGCTTATACCCATATTCCAATACAGTAATGTGTATGCTACAACACCGAAATTGAAAGAGCTAGCTGAAAATCGTGAACTACAAACGAGGTGTATCGAGTATGCGTCAAAATCACGTAAGTACGGAAAATCTATAACAATTATTCAACGTCCTAAGGCATGTAAAGGACGCTCAGTTCTTGATTATTGATTACATAGAGCGTCAACCAGCGTTCCTAAGAGATATCTATCGAATGTACGCGAGTATGACGCACGGGAGCAGCATGAGGGACTTATGTCAGCGATTAAATCCGCAAAATTTGAGGATCAACGAAAGGAGGCTAGTGCAGTTTGGACTAATCGAAGGACTTATTCGCCGAGTATACAAGGTACGCAAACAATTATTAACCAAATCGAGTCTTTCTTTTGACAGTTTGTAATGGTTTTTCTCTAGTATCCAATTCTTTTGCCTGGAAGCTCAAGTGAGGAGGGCCGCAGCCATCCCGTGTACAAGTACTTTAACGGCAACTACAACCTGGACGAGATCTGCTGCAGTACCGGCCAGTCGGCTGCCACAATCGAGGATATCGTCGAGCAGGATCCGAACGTCGTCATGTTGTGGAAATGACAGAGAACAATATGTCGTTGATCATAAGGTGAGTGTTTCATCAATCACAAACATAGCCTGTCGTTGTTTATCATTTTTATTTGATGCTCTCCATCATGCGCTTGACCTCGTTTATGTGCACTTCTGGCACTTTGTTCTCTCTCATCTCCTGGCACTTTCGCTCCATCACTTCCCGAAGTCGACGTTTGCGTTGCTCGCTCTCAGCACGTATCGCCAAACCCTCTTCGAACATCTTCTGCCTGGACACTATTTTTTCTTTCTCCTTTTCGTTCACCTACATAAAAAAAAAAAAAATCCAATCAATAAACATTTCAGTCCTTCAAAACAAAAACCCAAACCGGCTTTGGACACCCAAGCACCTGTTTGAGAATATCGCTCCTGTGCGCGAGCATCCGCTTCTGTTTCTTCTCGCGTTCCCTCTGCTCGCGGCACTGGGCCTCCCTCTGTCTCTCGAGGATCTTCTCGATCTCGTACTTTTCGCGCTCAACCTCCATCGCCTGTATCTTCATCTTGCTGTTGACCTGCCGTGTGCGCTCCTCGCGAAATTTCTTCAGTTTCTCGGCGCGCTTCACGGCTTCCTCCTTTTCTTTGCGACGCCACTCGCGCTCCACCTCCTCTTGGATCCTCGAAGCATTGAGCTCGTCTATCTGAGCCTGCCCAAAGAAGAGAAACGGGGAAAAAAAAACAACTTTTTTTCAACGAGCCCAAAAAACAACGAAACGCAAAGCCAAACGATAGTGTAGTACCTGAACTTCTTTGTCCTGAAGAGCCTGCTCGGCGATCCGCTCTTTTTCTCGTTCCTTGCGCTGCTGCTCGTTGCGCTGCTCCTCGACGATCCTCCTCTCCCTCTCGGTCTTTTCCCTCTGATACTCCTGTATCCTGCGAGCAAGTATAACCATATATATGATACTCAACACCCTCGGACCCGAGTCGCGTGAAAACCAAGCAAGCCAGCCAATTCACCTCATGTCCATGATCCTCTCCTCCTCCTTCTCCATTCTCTTGAAGTGCTTGATCTGGTCGTTGCACCTGATGAACTCTCGCCTGACCCTCTCGCGCTCGGCCTCGAGTTCCCGATACTTGTCCAACTCGGCCTCCTGTTGGGCTATGCTGTTGAGGTTGGCCAGCCTGGCCTCCTCGCGCTTCCGCTCGTACTCGATCAAGCGCTCCTCCTCGTTGGCCACTATCTGCTCCTTGAGCACCTGGGCGAAGCGCTGCTGCCTCATCGCCCTCTCGTGCACCTGCTGCTCCTCGGAGCGCAACGCCGCCAGGCGCTCCTGCTCCATCTGCTCGTTCATCCGTTGCTCTTCCTGCTGGTGCTCGAGCTCCAGCAGCTTTTTCTCCGCTATCTGCGCTCATCGATTCGTTCATTTTCCCCTACACCATTATCCCCCTTGACGCGGATACGAGATACGTCTAGGTGTATACCTGGGCATCGCGGATGGCCCGACACTTGGTCTCGAGTATGAGCTTGTTGCACCTTTTAATCTCCTCCTCCTGCTCGAGTTTCAAGTTGTGGGCTCGCTCGAGCAGGTGCATCGTTCGTTGGCGCGCCTCCTCCTCGATCTCGTTCAGCCTGCCCTGCTTCTCGTGGCTCTTGCGCAGGTCCATCCGCCGGATCGCCTCCTTCCGTGCCATGCTCTCCCTGTTTTTTTGTAAAATACATTTTTTTTTTTTTTTTTTTTTTTTTTGTAAAATACATATGTGGTATCGATAAATTTAATGGCTTACCGCATCAGGCGCTCTTTTTCGCGCTCGGCCGCTGCGAGGGCGGCCTCTTTCTCCTCGGTCGTCGGGTTGTGGCTGTTCTCGAGGATCTTGGCGAACTCGGAGGTCGTCATTATCTTCGGGTAGACTGTCAGCTCCTTCGACGGGACCAGGAGTTTGCGGAAGCCGTCCTTCTCGAACACGCGCACCACCTTGTTGCGCAAACGTGTGGCTAATTATATCTCACTTCGCGTTAAACAAAAACAAATGTGCACAACGAAAAGAAAAAAAAAAAAAAAAAACCGTGTGGTGCTTGGAGGAGAAAACAAAAATCGAAGCTTTTGTCGTGAGCTTCGTTACGAGTATAAAGGTGTACCTCCTTGCCATCGTAAGCGCACTGTTTCAGGTGAATCGGCCGATTTTTGAGCAGCTGGTTGCACTCGTTGGGCGTGTGAATGGTGTACTCCCCGGGTGGGAACTTGACGCGATTCGAGACCGCGGATCTTGGCTTGGCGTCCGCGGTGCGGGCTCGCGCTCGTGACGCCGATTTCATGCTTATCGCTGCTGTTGATCACGCGCTCGATTATTTATTACGCTGATCGGTGCTGGCATCCGAGATTTATCTGTACTCCTGTGCAGTCACGAGTTTTTTTGTCAATCATTCATGCGAGTACATTACATCAAAAATACTTAGTATAGAGGGTGAAACGGGCGCCGATTTTTGGGGTACCGATCGAGCCACCGACGATTGGTATCTGCTTTATTGGTACTTCAACATTTTATTTAATGATCAATATTCGGCAGGTTTTTCAAATCTTTAATAGTATATTGTATACGATGTTGTCAACTCACCATCTAAAATAATCGTCCCTCGTTGATTTTCATACTTGGATCTATTTTTCCCTCTCTTTGTCTCACCGTATACTAAAAATGCGTGGATGTGTGATTCCTGAAAAAAAAAAAGAAAAAAAAAAAAAACCAAACCAACTTTTCTACAAACCGCATAATATCACTTCATCGCACGCTTATAAACCATTTGCACCTAACCTCGTGTAAATCGACGCTAATATAGTAACGCAATGATGAACACAGATGACCAAAATCGCGTTGATTTTGCACCCGAGAGCACACAGGAACTGATACGAAGATCGAGTCCTTCACCTACTTTCAAGTAAGCACGATCTAATCGAGGGTAAGGAGAAGACAATGAGGAGATGCCCGTGCCATATTCCAGAGAGGGTGTACTTATTTTGCGGCTGCAAGCTACAACTGTCACTTTCTTGCGGGGAACTTGCGACTTGTAGATATGTATACGCACGTGTATATATGTATATATTGTCATCAGCCACCAGTCGCGCTCCGTATGTTTGTTCGATATATCCTACACATACGTGCGGGGTGAAGAAAATAGGGATCGGTGTGCCTATAAGTATATATACGCGCTGGGTAAGCATGATGCGACGAATCGATCGCTGCGCGATGTAAATTTGTTACGTTTACGGTAAAACGTCTGTCTTGAAAATTTTAGAGGGTTAACCCTATTTTCTTTCTTTTTTCCTTTTTTTTTCTCGTCCATGGGGTGTTTTTTTGTTCAAAGGATATGAAAATCGTTTGATCGGTAATGGAAAACATTGCGTTGGTTCGATTTTCAAGTCAAGCGATGTAAGCGTAACTTTGTCTTTCAAAATGTTAATCAAAAAAAACAACATCGGATGCTACTTCAAGCCTGAGGTTATTAAAAATATTTATCTAACGTTGCAGTGATGACGAATAACGTTGACAAGTTTTCAAGAATAAACCTTAAAATAAAAAAAAAAAAGTTTGCAATTAGACTACCGAAAGTTTTAGCGAAATAATCAATGTACACGTAAGTACGTAAAACGTGTGTGCTCAAGATAATAAAATAACGTAATAAAAAAAGTTCAATGGTACGAACCTTTCGACCGAGTGTGTAGACAATGACGAAATGCAAATGACGTTTTCTGAAACAAAATGACTGTAATGTACTAACAATGTACATGTAACGATATATATATATATATATATATATATACATGTATANATATATATATATATATATATATATATATATTACGCGCTACGAACGAAGATAACCATGTATTTTTTGTATTTATTTCTTCAATAAAACATTGAAATTTCTACCTTTCGTGTTTCAATTCTTTACTAAGCTCGTCAACGTAATAATATGCTATACTTTTCATAATACCCCTGAGAAGCTCATAGAGTGTCATATACGTATATAGGGTCTTCTTCAACGCAAACTGTATGCCAAGTTACTCGTTGACGATTTCACCCCATTAAACGAGTTTATACACTTTTATAATTGCAGTGCTTTTACTCGTATATAAATATATCCAACATGATGTTTTATTGCAGCGATTACCCATTTAGCAGTCATGTAGAAAAATATTATTGTACGGTTAGTGTAAAAATCCGTACAATTGTAAGAATATGTTCACCCAGAAGCAGAGGAGTGCCATGCAGACATCTCGTGGGAAGCGATCTTAGATAAAAGTATTTTTGTTAAAAAAAAAAAAAAAAAAAAAAAACACCCATAAATCGCAACCCTGTCTCTCCCTCTCGCTGTAATCCATAGAAACACAGCTGGTATACATGAGATAACCCATAACAACGCACAGGGTGGCCTCGCGCCCGAGTAGTTTCGCGTTTATAGGTACACACGATACCCAAACTCCGTGCAAGGACGATAATTATCCCTGAGTTGTGGAGCTTGCAATGCGAAAACTACACCCGCGTATACAACCTGTACGTATGTATAAATGTTCGCGAGCCCATCAGGCCAAGGGCAGCTAACCATAAGGAGCTTTAAGCTCAAGCCACGTGGGGGTGTATTTACATGTGATGTTGGCTGCCAGGTGCAGACACGCAGCAAGGGAGGGAGTTTCGATAACAAGCTCGGAGCGGATCAAAGTTGAAGGAAGGAAGGAATGATGCGTATAGTGTAGGGTGACATTCAATACACAAAAAGCTGAGCTTTGCTCGAAAAAGCAAAGTTCGCAGCGAGTGTGTACACACACGCGGGGACACTGGCACGTTCCACGGGGAAACCAATTACACGAACTGTAATCTTGTATATAAGCGTGACAAGTTGGAGTTGACGGGCGCAGGAGCTTTTATTTTATTTTTTTCGAATCAGTGCCTATATATATCGGGCGTGCGCGCATTTATAACCCATACACGATGATCTTTCGATGCTTGGCAGCACACCTCGCAACGCTCGCGTTTAATATAGGCTCATTAAAAGTTTCGTCCCGCCCATCATTTTTCTCCCGCACGCGGTTTTTTCATTGGCGTCGGAGATAAACTCTACATTGTCCATACGTATTATGTTATACATTATGCAATGCATATCGTCGCGTCGATAGAGACTCTCATCGATAAATCGGCTCGATACCGCGCGCGAGAAAGAAAAGAAAAAAAAAAAAAAAAAAAAGTTCACTTATGTACAACGGGACGAGGGTCATTACGTGTAACACTAGCGAAAGCACATCGGATGGAGAAACGAGTCTCGCGGCCATTATCTTATGTGCGTGCACGTGTTTTCCACGGCTGAGCAACAAATTCCGAACTCTGGTGCGTGGTATAATAAACTTGTATACCTAATATATACATACAAGTGCTCGAAGTGGTATACATTTATGTAATAATAACCACTGGCGCGCGTGCAACCTTCGTGTGTTGCATATAATGTAATGACTCTTTGGAGTATAAGAGAATCGAGTACAACGAACATTGATTCGATGGCGGAAAAATTCTCTTTCCTCCAGAGTTTCATTGAATGATTCACGAGGCGTGTCCGCGTGCGACGACGTTTTCTGATCTTTACGAGTACCATGTATACGTACATATTGGTATACACATTATACCCCATACGCATATTCGAATTGTCTATTAATACAATATGTGTTGAGTTTTGTTGAGGCAAAAAAGCGTACGTTGGCGCCTGGCAACTTATCCTCCAGCCTTTCATTGATCACTGGTTACTTACATGACCCTTTCAACCATGAAGTATATGTATATACCTATATGCTGTACTATTTTATGTACTTTCTTTCTTTCTTTCTTTCATTGACCCTTTACTTTGTTGCCCTGTAGATCCAACTGCAAGTACCTATACATAATATAATTTACACGATAGACAGTGTAATATACACTTGCACTTGTTTTGCTTTCCTCGTAAACTTTTGTCGAAGTTGCGGCAGCAAGGGGGATATATAGAAATAAAATTGCGGTCGTTAGCCCGATTAAAAAAGTTTTAAATGCTGAATTTTCGCGTTAATCTGTGGCTCGTTTCTATTATCTACATATGTAGGTATATATGTACAAGTACACGTGTGCAAGCGTATCGAATTTCTATGCAAAATATTGTTGATGATGCTGCAGCTTATTGGAGTATTTGGAGAATACAACGTGCACGAACTTGCCAGGTGGAAAAATTCGTGAATGTGAATGGTTTATAAATTGCACAGTTGGGCATTGTTTACGGGACTTTTTACACAGGTTGACCAGTAAAAATCATTGTTATCAGAAACACGGGCGTGCCAACATCCGTTCGTATCACTCGGAATTCGTATCACTTTCCCAAAGTGGCTTTTCCTCCTCGTCCGATAAAATATTTGGCAGGTACGCGTTTGTTTTTTCCTATCGTATATCGCGTCACATATTTTTTATTAACGACAAAAATTACGAGCTTTTTTTTATACTTCATTCTCCATGTTGCAGCACCGACGAGTCCTGTTTGCCAATGTCATCTCAAAGGATAAATGCTAAAACATTGATTCAATTCGTAGCCCATTTTTTTATCCGTACATCATAGTGAAGCTATAAGTAACGATTTTTACCGATCAGTCCAACAACCCGGTTCACAAGATAAAACATATATATTTTTATCATTTCTTCAATAAAAAATTATGTACATCGAAGAAATAACTCTAAATAACGAAAAGTAAGGTCAAGTGACTTTTTTGTTTTATTTCAGTATGACTTGTTATTAAATCCACGCCACATCGACAACATGAATGTTTGTATTCATCAGAGTGCCATCATTAATAATGCAGTCGAGTAATACAGCACTCACGAGCCGAAGACACTCGAGCCTTTGTATGTGTTAAAAGAGCCCCTCATTCATTCCTCGTTTGTTATCCTCCGATTTCCAAATACTCGAGCGTCTTATTTTCGGCCCTCGTAGAACGATCACAATAATATGTACCTACATATAACATTTTTTCATGGTTTTTCCCGTTTTCATTTGTCCATCGATAAAACATACGCTTTTACTTGAACGAGGGGAAAAAAAAAAATTTATTTATTCGACGGCACACGAAATTCGATCGACAATAATGTGCAATGTTACATGGCTATAAACGTATACAATGTTATCGTTCGCTGTCGATTATTTCTCGCGCAGAATAATAGACGTGCCATTTAATTTCGTAATAAATATATGTGTATATTGTGTTTGTTAGTATATTTTAATGGTATAGTACTTATTGTCCGTTGTTTTCATTAATGATACAAACATGACGGGGACCGGATGAACTTTCCTATACCTTCTCATAAATTTTCAACGAATCGGATGATTGACGAAAAAAACACATCACTCAAATGAAATGAAACGTCAAAATGCTTTATTCAACCTTTTGTTTTTGTTTCGCCCGTGTAATTTTTGACGAGTCAATCGATCCGTCGGTCCAAATTGTTTATGCTACTAATGCAATGACTTGTTTTTTTTTTTTTTCTTCAAAAAGTGCTTGTTTGTGGAGTTTTAGTGTTTTCATAGGTAGTAAAAATTTCGTTAGGCTAATTCAACACCGGAGCTTCCTTTTGATTTTTTATATTACACTACAGCTTTTTCTCATGAAACAGCAGTCATCAAATTACTTTTTGAAACGGCACAACTGGTGTGACACACACATTGCGTGGTAATGACGTCACTTATTTCATCGCGATATCAGACGTTCCGCTTGTTCTATTATTTTTATATCTCCATGAATTTTATCGAATAAGTTACAGAAAAACTTTTAAAAATTTAAATATTATCCACTCGAAATTTCAACTGAATAAATTTATCCATATCAATTTATGTTTACTCATTTATTTAAACAATTAAAAATCAATACAAAAGTTTATTCACCGTATACAATACCCAAAATTTCTAATACAACAATTCATTTGAGTGAAAAATTATAATAAAATACCTATAACTTTGAAAGTAACTGTTAGTTGTTCAAATACATTATATTGTTAAATTATAAGATAAGTAAAGTACTTACCTACTTGCTATAAAGTATATCGAGACAGACAATTTTC